CCGGCACCTGCATCCGCGACTCCGTGCCCTGCCGGCGCCAGCTCAACCGCACCGCCAGGTGGGGACACCGGGCACAGGTGGGGGTGGCACTGACCGGGGGGGACACCTGGGACAGGTGAGGGTGGTACTGACCAGGTGGGGCACATCTGGGAGAGATGAGGGTGGGGACACCTGGGACAGGTGAGGGTGGTACTGACCAGGTGGAGGACAGCTGGGACAGGTGAGGGTGGCACCACCAGGTGGGGACACCTGGGACAGGTGAGGGTGGCACTGACCGGGGGGGACACCTGGGACAGGTGAGGGTGGCACTGACCAGGTGGAGGACACCTGGGACAGGTGGGGATGGCACTGACCAGGTGGGGACACCTGGGACAGGTGTGGGTGGCACTGACCGGGGGGGACATCTGGGACAGGTATTGGTGGCACTGACCAGGTGGAGGACACCTGGGACAGGTGAGGGTGGCACTGACGAGGTGGGGACACCTGGGACAGGTGGGGGTGGCACTGACGAGGTGGGGACAGCTGGGACAGATGGGGGTGGCACTGACCAGGTGTGGCACACCTGCGACAGGTGAGGGTGGGGACACCTGGGACAGGTGAGGGTGGTGCTGCCCAGGTGGGGACAGCTGGGACAGGTGAGGGTGGCACTGACCAGGTGGGGACACCTGGGACAGGTGGGGGTGGCACCACCAGGTGGGGACAGCTGGGACAGGTGGGGGTGGCACTGAACGGGGGTGACAGCTGGGACAGGTGGGGGTGGCACCACCAGGTGGGGACACCTGGGACAGGTGAGGGTGGCACTGACGAGGTGGGGACACCTGGAACAGGTGAGGGTGGCACTGACCGGGGGGGACAGCTGGGACAGGTGGGGATGGCACTGACCAGGTGGGGCACATCTGGGAGAGGTGAGGGTGGCACTGACCAGGTGGGGCACATCTGGGAGAGGTGAGGGTGGGGACACCTGGGACAGGTAAGAGTGGCACTGACGAGGTGGGGACACCGGGCACAGGTGGGGGTGGCACTGACCAGGGGGGACACCGGGCACAGGTGAGGGTGGCACTGACCAGGTGGGGACACCTGGGACAGGTGAGGGTGGCACTGACCGGGTGGGGCACATCTGGGAGAGGTGAGGGTGGGGGACACCTGAGACAGGTGGAGGTGGCACTGAAGGGGTTGGGGGACACCTGGGACAGGTGGAGGTGGCACTGCCCAGGTGGGACACCTGGGACAGGTGAGGGTGGCGCTGCCCAGGTGGGCACACCTGCTACAGGTGAGGGTGGGGACACCTGGGACAGGTGAGGGTGGCGCTGCCCAGGTGGGCACACCTGGCACAGGTGAGGGTGGCACCACTCTCGGGGTCCCCTGCAGCCCCCCGCCCTTCGAGAAGAAGTGCTGCAAAGGT